TGTTGAATATTAATTATTTTATATTATTATGTTCCGATGCAGCAACTAACTGACCTCAAAATACCCTTCCATGTCATAAACGATTGTACCCAAGAATTCAGTGAAAGAAACTTCATTAGGAAGGGTGGTTATGGAAAGGTATATATTGGGATCCTCACATGGGCAAGTCATGTAAATCGATTGGTTGCTGTAAAGAGGCTAGATGTGACCGGATTTCAGGGTAACAAGGAGTTCCGTACAGAGGTTACAATGCTTTCAGAGTATCAACACAAAAATATTATAACACTTATAGGGTTTTGTGATGATAACAATGAAATGATCCTTGTTTATGAATATGCAATCCGTGGAAGCCTTGACAAATATTTAAGTGATACTACCATGTCATATACACTGCCATGGCGCCTAATTCTTAAAATATGTGTTGGTGTTGCTTCTGCATTAGACTATCTTCATAACCAAGTGGCCGAAAAACATAGAATAATCCATCGTGATGTGAAAAGCGCGAATATTTTGTTGGATGCAAATTGGAATGCAAAACTTTCCGATTTTGGGTTAGCTAGAATAGGTTTAGCAAATCAACAAAACACCTTTGTGATCACTAACCCTGCCGGCACATATGGTTATATTGACCCACAATATGAAAGAACAGGGTTTTTAACAAAAGAGTCAGACATTTATTCGTTTGGTGTGGTTTTGTTTGAAGTTATGTGTGGAAGGTTGGCATGTGTTTTTAGCTACCATGATGAGCGTCAGTTCCTACATCATTTGGCTCAAATCCGGTACAAAAATGGAGAGTTGGATAAGATTATTAATCACAACATAAAGAAAGATAGCAACACAAGATCATTAAGCAAGGTCTCAGCTATTGCATACCAATGCTTGCATAAAACTCGAGAAGAACGACCTACAAGTGCTGAGATTGTAATCCAACTTAAGGAAGCCTTGAAAATCCAAGTAAGTTTGAATATTATTTTTATGTTTCTTTAATTTAAACTGTAAGGACATGATGTTATATCTATTGTTCAATTTGATTAGATGCTAGATGTTCATATTTGTGTAAACTGAGATGAGCTCCTTTTATCCATGAATTTTGCAGATAAATGATGTATAAGTAACCAAATCATCAAAGCTATGGAGGAATGGACGAATAAGTAAAGCTTAATTTTAAGGTTATCTAGGGAAATAGTGAGATAACACAATACTACAGTTTGGTCGTCTACACAGTGAAAAAACATTGTAAAGATTAACAACTATATATTTCATTCTATATATAATATGTCCTTACCTATAAACTTTCATTAACTCCACAATCCTCAAAATAGTTGTACACGATGCTACCACATAAGGTAGTTCACCCAATTAACTTGTTTTAGGACAAAAGATGTGATATTAGTCACTAGAAGTTGAGTATTAGACTTTATATGGAATGGAACTTTCATCGTATCATGATAATTACAATTGAAAAAACATAACACATTGGATAAAATTAGTTCTTATATGATATTCCACATAGTTAATGGATAAAAAGATATCACAAAATTTTCACTTGAACAAGGTGATTTATATATAGATACAAATTAATGACAAGTCATACATATGCTCTTCGTTATGTGCCAAATTTAGTTTGCAAATGTAATCTTGTTTCTTTTCTATTACTTTCCAATGTTGTAAAAATTATCATAGGTGGTCAGCTAGGTGGAACCTGTTGGAGTAATTCAAAATCTAGGACAAAAATAATCCAGAGGTATTTTGGGAAATTTTAGGAAATCTTTCCTAATTTAAAGTTTTATAATTGTTTTAGAATTCAGTTATGCCTAGTATAAGTAGGGTTATGTTTTTAATGTTTTAGTATGAAGTTTTTATTATGATTTCCTCAATAAAGCTTAGAAACAAAGCAATTTTCCTAGAAATTGAATTGTTCCTTGTTCTTCTTCCATTATCCTCTGTTCTTTTGTTTTAGTTCTTATTATGTACCTTGGATCAAGGTAATTTCTAGATTGTTTGATTACATTTGGTATCAGATCAAACCATATTCACCCGTTTTTATTGATATGGAAGGACAAAAGAAAAATGGCTCGTTTTCTCTCCAATACCCTTTGTTGACCAGGAGCAATTACGTTATCTCAGCAATAAAGATGCAGGCTCTAGAAGTGTGGGAAACAGTTAAACGAAAAAACCCTCAGAATCCGGTTGGTTTCAATAATGATAGGGTTGTGATGGCTATCACATTCCAAGCAATACCTGGTTATATTTTGTTGTCTTTAGCGGAGAAGAAGACAAGAAAAGATGCTTGTGACACACTCAAAACTATCTACATGGGTGTTTGTCACAACCCCCGATCGAGGTGGTGGAATAAGCCGAGTTGTGCGACTTAGTTCATGGATCACATGTAAACTGAATATATAGCACAAGTACAACAATAAACAAACTATAGTTTTATTCCATCTTCAGGTTTGAATACAAGGTACTTATAGAAAATAATATAGTACATAAATTGCCTTAAATAGTTAAGCAGATATAACAAAAATCTAGAAAACTTGTTTGCCTGAAATCCATGACTAATCCATCAATGAAATTCTCGTTCAGTGATTTCCAAAGAATACATGTAGTTTTGAGGGTCAACACAAGGTTGGTGAGAGTTACAGGTTTTCCACTAGTGAAGTAGTGATACTTTTAAAATGACCGAAAAGTATTTTCATTGTAAGTAAAACAATACTTAAAAATGAGTTTGTAAATAGCCTTTAAAGAATCTTTGAAAAATGAAAATGTGTTTTTCCACAAGTAAATCCATACTTGTAACTGTTTTGAAGTGAGAAAAACCAAGTGCATGGTTTGTAGAGAGAGAGAGTGAGAGAGAGAGAGAGAGAGTGATCCAATTAATATTAATATTGAGTCCTATCACCGAGCTATGTGACTAGATATAACCCCTTACGATGCTTCATTGGACATCGTGGAAAAACACTTAAGATACTTATCACTCGCTTCAATTAATCCATCAAGGTTGTAGCTAACAACCGCAGGTGGGGGTGTTAACCCATATAGATCTATACATATGTATCTCGCTCCAAGGATTAACGGTTATAGTTGAGTGGGTAGACTAAATGTTTATACTTAGGTAATGAATAACATATCAGTGTAAAAGTCAGTAACTAATGTACACAAATAAAGTTTTACTATAGAAGCCAAGTATGTTCAATAAGTATATAAGTAACAGTGATAGTACTCGCCTAAATATGTTGTAAATATTACAAGCACATGTTTAAATTCCAAGTTATAA